GTCCTTTCAAACCAGCAATGGCCATGTGCGTGGGCCTTCCAGGAACCACACCGACATGCATAACCAAGTAAGAATGCGAGGGACGCCAAAACCCGAACGTATCGAAAGCACGTTGAAGTTGTGCTAAACAAATGCGTCCCAGAAAATATTTCGCCATCATGCAGGCACGCCATCTGGATCACCCCTAGAACAACAAGCCCCCCTTGTATCCCCCCACGCAATTCCTGCTCGCTCTCATCCCTCCCTCATGCTGCGAGATATCCCCCCACCGCTCCGTCAACCTGCGGCATTTTTTACCATAGCAAAAATATGTGAGAAGGGCGATCGGGGGGAGGTCAGCTGGGTAAAAAAGGCACGGCAACTTTGCTGCTGTACAACTTTGTTTTTTCTTTCTGGTGCCCCGATCTGCCACTTCGTTTCGCAAGCACTGATGGGACAGCTCAGAAAAGGCGTTCCTTCTTACTGATATAAGCGGAGAATGACGCTAAGATGTGATCGTGCAACCTCGTTCTGTTGCAGGAAGGAAATCAAAGGGGTTGCCTGAATCGATTTTGGCTTTCGGGGAGAGGTTTGGTTACCCTTTGATAGTTGGGGCATCACCTTCACTATTTCGTTCTTGAAAGTAGTAGTCGGTGGCCCATTTCTCCGCGCTGTATCCTGGTTGCCGAGCTCTGCTTTCGCGCCAGCTGCGTCCCTTGCTCTCGGCAACGTCTTTCTTCTGCCAGTCATCTACTCCGTCACGCGAGGAACGTAATTTTGTTCATCTTCTTCTAGCTTTATGAGGTGCGGTCGCCGACTGCAGCGGCATTTCGCCTTGATGGCGCAAAAAAGAAGTGGCAACGGTGCGGGACGCTCAGTCAAATATTGCATTGTAGCAGAGTCGCACCCCAGAAATCTGGCGAGTGCAGGCGAGCAGAGAGCGGTAGGTCTAGGTAAACACGTACCAGTTTTTTCTCGCGTCCTGGTCAGGCATATTCGGTGTCGGCAACGCCGGAGGGGTGATGGGGTGTAATCCGACAAAAGCGTTGTACTCGTACAATACAATCGACACTTTGTCTCACAAGGACCGCTGGCAGAAAATGGCTGTTGCTATACTTCTAGACGAACACGCCACAACGCATGAGCGCAAAAAATGCTGCACATGGTATGCATGTCACTACAAAAGATAAACGATATACCACTGCTGCCGACTTGACCGACGGATTGCAGCAGGTTTCGGCGATACTACTGCTGTATCCGCGACAGCCAGAAAAGTAGACGGCGTGTCGTCTATTATGTAGGTAGAACACAAGTACTCTCGGCATGTATTTGCCCACACGCAAAAAGTACAGACATGCAGCGGTGGATCACAAATTAGGTACAGCACCTGCGTGGCACCAGCATGTTTTGATGTGTATTTAAGAGGACACATGTGGGTGCAGCAGCTTGTACCATGAATACCACCTGGCACATGCTTCGACTTGCAGTGCGAGACAAAGAGTTGGGGGTGGCGCGGGTGCGAGCGAGTGCGGTGAGACAACAGAGAGGGGACGAGAGCGAGACACACACACACACACACCAGGCGGCGTATACAGAAAACACGCTTCTAACAGACCTGCTGCTGTAACCTCGAGGCCCGAGACATGATGGCTTCTACTTTCAACAACCTGGCTGGCTCTATCCAGCAAGTAGGACATGCTCTTGGTATCGTGTTGCTTCGCGCTTCGCCTTGGCCCGGGGTGTTGCCTGGCGCCGAGCAGGGAAAACTGCATGCGGCTGGACCTACAGCAGCGCCATTATCCGCCCTGTCTGCTGAATCCAGCCGGGACTTGCCCTTGGTGACCACCAACCCCATCTTTGTTGGGCCCTACCATGGTATTGCGCGTGTGGGGTCGTTGTCTGTGGAGTGCGGGGTGTGGTTGAAGGGGCACGCCCTCTCGCCATCACATGCGGCGAGATTTATTTGGAAAGTTGCCTTGCAGCGTGTATAAAATGAAAGTGTTGGTTCCAAATATTTGGACCCAAATTTCCAGAAATTTCGGACAAAAAATTTGGAATGTATAAAACGCCCCTTAGAGACCCCACAAAATAGAATAGGTCACGGTTGGTTCTAGTCTATCTCGCACGTAGCAAGGTTCTCTTCGGCGATTGCCATTTATTTCATTTTATTTATTTGATTAAAGGAATAATAAAAACACACACAGAAAGACTACCCATTCGAGATATTTATTTTCGTCTTCACTTCAAATCAGCGCTCACAACACTACTGTAGTGCCGTTTGGTCCAACCCGTGGTCACACAGAAGAGCCCCTCTCTACCCTCCCCTCCTGCGGTACTTTGCCGTCGATTTTTAATGCCATAAGGCCCTGGTCTTAACCACTTTGGTGCTCCCACACTTCACACCCACACCAACAGTTAGTTAGAACAGGAAGATCCACAGAAGTCCCTGTTTGATTGGGTGAAATTATGACAAGAAGACCACTTTTTTTTTTTCTACCTGAAGTTCCCGCAAGCAATACTATGGGTCAGAATACCCGGACTAACTATATAAAAAATCATTTTTTTCAAATGATGAGCAGTGGCCAAAATCGGGTACACCTGGTCCAAACACGGCCATAATAATCGGGTACCGCTACAAGACGCCGCTGGGAGCCACCGCATGACACCATCTGAAAGGCCGACGCCCACTCCTACCTCCTACCCGACCTTGACCGTCTCTCCACCGGGTGCACCTGATCTTGGCTACTCGCCCCGGAGGGGTACATACCCGGTTTTTCTTTCCCCCCGAAAATGGTTGGACTGCTGTTCGACCAAAACCCATGCACACACAACAATCACAATTCGGACGCACACCGGCCCCGTTTGACACCAAGTGAGAAAGTAGTCGGAGGGAGAGAATATAGACTAGACAATACGAGTTGTCTATTTTTTAGATGAGTCCCGTGTATGTCGCATCTCGTGAGGGAGGTATTCATCCAGCTCTGCTTCTCGATCATTTGCACAGACCGCCTGCCGTTTCCCCCAAGGGAGACTTCCACCCCCGGTGGGGGGTCTGCCTCCGCCCGCCGGGCCGTCAGAACGTCCGAATTCGAGGGCAGGGCGTTGCTGACGTGTGTACTTGTGTGCATGGGTTTTGGTCGACCAGCCCAGCATTTTCGTGTAGGGGAGAGAAAAACCGGGTACTCCTCCGGGGGGTGAGTAGCCAAGATGGGGTGCACCCGGTGGAAAGACGGTCAGGGTCGGGTAAGGGCGGGCGTCGGCCAACCAGATGGTGGCATGCATGCGGTCGCTCCCAGCAGCATCTTGTAGGGGTACCGATTATGGCCGTGTTTGGACCGGGTGTACCCGATTTTGGCCACTGCTCTTTTTTATCTCTGTTTCGTTTTTCACACCAAGGGTACAAGAGTTATCCCGCACACTTAGGTACCACCCCCCCCCCCCCGAGAAGGGGCCAAAAAAAACATTTCTTATTTTCCATGTTTGTTCCTTGCAAGTATGCCTTCAATGGTGCAACTCAAACCTGTTTAACCTGTCGTACACAGATGAAACACAGCAGCAAAGTGTGAAACTATAGACTGATGTGCCTTACAGCCGGTGCTAACGTGTTAATGGAGAAGCCACCACACGACATCGTCGAATCAAGTTTCAGTGACTCTCAAAGCCCGGAGTAGCATCACTCCTCGACGGAACCCGCGGTAGACTGTACGTAGGTCATGTCGGAGCTCGCAAGTAGCTGGGAGTGTTCCAATCGCCTACCGTTCCGCCTATTCTGACATTCATTTTCGAACGCACAGCTTACTACAGTACACCAACCAACACACGAACGCCGTTTCGGGGTGAGTTTAGCGGCGTCGAGCGTACGTCCGGCCCCTCTTCTTCCTTCCTTCCTCCTCCTCCTCCTCCTCCTCCTCCACCTCTTCATTCTCCCTTTTTCCTCCTCCTATAACTC